CCCGTCTCTACTAAGAAATACAAAAAAAGCTAGCCGGGCGAGGTGGCGGGCGCCTGTAGTCCCAGCTACTCGGGAGGCTGAGGCAGGAGAATGGCGGGAACCCGGGAGGCGGAGCTTGCAGTGAGCTAAGATCCGGCCACTGCACTCCAGCCTGGGCGACAGAGCGAGGCTCCCTCTCAAAAAAAAAAAAAAGCTTTACCTTTATTTGAGGTCTGCTTGGGCCTACGCGCATCTCCACCGTAGTGCTAATCCCTTCCCTGTCCTGGGACAGCCTCAATGATGTATTTAAATGGTATTCTTTTAGCCCAACGCGAGAGCCTTTTCGTCTGGTTGTTTTTGTTTTTCGTTTTCAGAGAGCGTCTTGCTCTATTACCCAGGCTGGAGTGCAGTGGTAAGATCTCGGCTCACTGCAGCCTCGAACTCCTGGACTCAAGTGATCCTCCCACCTTGGCCTCCCAAAGTGCTGGAATTCCAGGCGTGAGCTGCTACACCCAGCCTCTGGTTCTATTTTTTTTGCTCAGTATTAGAATTCGTAAGTTCTGGCCCCGGCAACACATCCTTTCATGTCTCAAGTTGCATTGTGGTGATCACAGGACCTGTCCTGCACCTTGCACATGTGGCCATGAACAAGACTCGCTCCTTGCTCTCATGGGGCCTTCATTCCAGTGAGACACAAATGCAAACACCAAATTCCAGAAGAGTGCTAAGTGCTGTCATGAGAAACGAAGCCAGGCTGGAAGATGGGCTCTAACCCCAGAAAACTGATGGAGAGGCCCAAGCAGCCTTGGGAGCAACAGGTAGGCAAGTTGGAGGACACATGGCAAGGCTACTTGGAAGTAGGGGAGGGTGCATGGGAAACTCTGAGGCTGTGGGGGGAGAGGCAGGAGCCAGGTGAAGTCCAGGTAGATAGCAGTGGAGATGTAAGAACATGGCGGAATTTTTTTTTTTTCTGAGATGGAGTCTTGCTCTGTCGCCCAGGCTGGAGTGCAATGGTGAGATCTCAGCTCACTGCAACTTCCACCTCCCGGGTTCAAGCAATTCTCCTGCCTCAGCTTCCTGAGTAGCTGGGATTACAGGCACCCGCCACTATGCCCAGCTAATTTTTGTATTTTTTAGTAGAGTTGGAGTTTCACCATGTTGGTCAGGCTAGTCTCGAACTCCTGACCTTGGGTGATCCACCTGCCTTGGCCTCCCAAAGTGCTGGGATTATAGGTGTGAGCCACAGCACCTGGCTAGAACATGGTGAAATTTGAGTGTGCTTGGGAATACGCTTATAGGACTTTTGATTAGTTGAATGAGGAAATGAAAAAATGAAGAGTATCTTCTGGGATTTCAGCCTGAGCAACTGGGTTGCTGGTGGATGCTGGTTCTCTTACCAAGGACAGGAAAGACGGGTTGTCTCCCCTAAAATACTGAGTTTTAAAGGCAGGGACTGTTATCTTTGCAGTCTTGGCTCCTAGCAAGGGCCTAGCCCTTATGTGACATTAGTGAATGTTGAAATGAATGTGACATGCCTCAAACAATCCTTCTCCCTCACCTAGGCCCACATCTTCAAGTCCGTATTCCAGTACAAGCCACATCCAGTCCCCTCACCGACCCACAGAGGCCTGGGCTCAGGAGCTCACCCCTGTGCTATAAGGCCATGTGCATGTGTTATTTCCAGAGCCTACCCTTGGAGATGCCTCAGACTCCTGGGTACCTGTGGCTGGGAGGTAGCCAGTCATGCTGTCCACATACATGCTTTTGGGCAGTGGAGAAGCTGATCATTGGGAAGGTTTATTTCCTGTCTCCACATTAGGAGGCAGGTTACAGCAGTGACCACACGGTGCACAAAAGGCCATCCCCTAACAGCCCCATGGTTGGCATGCAGCATCTCAGCCTCCAAACTGGAAGCCCCCCGCTATCCAAGGAGCCCCCAGGTGGGAAAGGAAGGTCACAAGCCTCCCAAGTACCTCAGATGGGCTGAGGCCTGTGAGGCCCCTGCAGTAAGTCAGGTGTAGCATCTGCTCAGCTTCCCTCCCCACTCATTCGCACACAGCCAGAGCTACGGGGCTCCTGCCCTCTGGCCTCCAGCACTGCTGTGAATCAGAACTAGTCAAGAGAACTGGGTGCTTGTGTTAAACGGGAACACACTTAAATAAAATACGGGCTTTTTTTTTTTTTTTAAAGAGATGGGGTCTCACTATGTTGCCCAGGCTGGTCTTGAACTCCTGGCCTCAAGCAGTCCTCCCAGGTGAGCCTCCCAAATTGCTAGGATTACAGGTGTGAGCCAGCACACCCGGCCCCTGCTAGCTTTTTAATATGGACTTCCAGTGTGTTCTTCAGCACACTCAGGCAACATGGCTGTTACTGAGCAACTTTGTCTTGAGGTGCATTTGGAAGGCTCTGGGACTTGGTTCCCGTGCTCAACTTCAGGGCACCTTGGCAGAAAGAAGAGTGGTTCCTACACCAGCAGCTTATATATTAATGCCCACATTACTCCATTTCCTTCAGATCAGCAAAAATGGTTCCAATGAGGTGCTTTCTGTAAATGAAAATGAGTTGAAATGCTCCTGTGACCTGCCCTCCATTTGTGGTTCTCATGATACTATCTTCCTTCTGCTTAGCAGGATGGCATCATCCAGTGAGACAAGTCCTTCTTTTTTTTTCTTTTTGTCTGAGACAGAGTCTTGCTCTGTTACCCAGGCTGGAGTGCAGTGGAGCAGTCTTGGCTCACTGCAACCTCTGCCTCCTGGGTTCAAGCAATTCTCCTGCCTTAGCCTTCTGAGTAGCTGGGATTACTGATGCCTGCAACCACACCACCTAATTTTTTGTATTTTTAGTAGAGATGGTGTTTCACCATGTTGGACAGGCGGGGCTTGAACTCCTGACCTCATGATCCACCACCTCAGCCTCCCAAAGTGGTGGGATTACAGGTGTGAGCCATAATGCCTGGCCTTTTTTTTTTTTTTCTTTGGAGACAGTCTCGCTCTCTGGACAGGCTAGAGTGCAGTGGCACGATTTCGGCTCACTGCAACCTCCGACATCCTGGGTTCAAGCGAAGCGATTCTTCTGCCTCAGCCTCCTGAGTAGCCGGGATTACAGGCACGCGCCACCATGCCCAGCTAATTTTTGTATTTTTAGTAGAGATGGGGTTTCACCATGTTGGCCGGGATGGTCTCGATTTCCCGACCTCGTGGTCCACCTGCCTCAGCCTCCTAAAGTGCTGGGATTACAGGTGTGAGCCACTGTGGCAGGCAGAGACAGGTCCTTCTTATCCCTGTGTGGCACAGTATCTCTGCCATAGATTGGGTCCCTGGTTTGGGGAGAGGGTAAAATAAGCCCTCATTCCTGCATCTCCTCATTGGACTAAAGCTAGCTGGGCAAGTCACAGCATCCACATTTGGTGGGACATGGGTGTTGGCAGACCCCAACCCAGAGAGCTTGCACCTTTAAGAGGACATCTCCTTCACTACGGCACTGGCTTCCCCTGCACAGGGGCCTAAACCAGCTTGGGCCTTAGGGAAGCCAATAGAGGAGGTGTAGCTGCTTGTTCTGCCTCCTGCCCATCCACTTCAGCTCACTGTAATATCCCAAGTGGTCTTCCCCTTGCTAGAATCAGAGGACAGGCTGACCTAAAAACCAACTCAGTGTGCAACTTTTCAAAGCAATGAATCAGGCAGGGCTTTTGACATAATGTCCTCTGCAGTTCATTTTAAACAAGGATACAAAGTATTATTAAATGTATATTTTTAATAAAGCCAATAGTTATTTTACTTATAGGAGCTTTAAAAGATACAAAATGTAGAGTTCCAGTTTGGAAGCATTGTAACTATACACACAATGTCCTGCTGATGCCCTAGCAAGGCAGCCACGCCCGACCATGCAAAGGACACATACATTCACACACGCACACACATGCGCTTTGGCGAGACCCCTCTGCCAAGCGCAGCACCTGGAATTACCAGTGTTCAGAGCAAGGCGGTGCCGGGAACACAGCACCTACATGGAGACCACACAAACGGCTTCACACAGTCTCACAGCCCATGGAGATGCAATTAGAAAATGTCTTCCTTAATAGAGAAAAACAAACTGGAAAGTGACATTAGCAACGTCACCTGTGCTGGGGCATCAAGGACTGACCTCTGTCCAAGGTGAGGCCTTTGGGGAGGCACTATTAAAACAAGAGTACATCAGTATAATAGAACTCGAAATACAGGGTACTGTGGACACATTACTGAAGGAAATAGAAAACTATCTTACAAGTAGAACAGCCATAGACAACTTTAACAGAGATTAGTGTGCACACTGTGACAGCTAACAGACAGGAGCCACGCAGGGTTGGTGCAAAGCACGTGCCTGAAAATGTCTATATACAAAACAGTTCTTTGTAAACATGGTGAGGTGAATGCTCAGAACCACGGCAAAAGATCATAAATACAGGCAGCAATGCATCCCCACACAGCACAAAAGACAACACCTGAGGCCTGGGAACAGCCTGACAACACAGTACTAAAAAAAACTCAGGTGGCTGGGCTCAGACACCCTAAGGGTCCTTTCGAATTAGTGTGTGTGTGTGTGTGTGTGTGTGTGTGTACATACATATATATATGTGTGTGTATATATATATTCTTTTTTTTTTCTTTTTGAGACGGAATCTCGCTTGGTCACCCAGGCTAGAGTGCGGTGGCACAATCTCGGCTCACTGCAACCTCCGCCTCCCGGGTTCAAGCAATTCTTCTGCCTCAGCCTCCCAAGTAGCTGGGACTACAGGCGCCCGCCACCACGCCTGGCTAATTTTTGTATTTTTAGTAGAGATGGGGTTTCACCATATTGGCCAGGCTGGTCTTGAACTCCTGACCTTGTGATCCGCCCACCTCGGTCTCCCAAAGTGCTGGGATTACAGGCGTGAGCCACCGCGCCCATCCTCTTTTTGGTATTTTTATATATAAATTTACTTATATCTGTAGAAAAACGAGAACATAAATGTGTTATTACAATCTTTGCTGGAAAAGCTTATATGGAGTTAGAAAGAATAAACCATTTATTAGTAGTTAACATATATTAAAATGGTTTAATGATTTAAGAAAATATAAAAAAAATATTAATACTGTCAAACTTTCATACTAGAAAATATTATGGATTTTTCTCAATTAGACTTTTTCAAAGATGAAATATGAAAAATTTAAATAAGTTTTATATAAAGAACTTTCTGTAACCTCAATTAATATACAGTGGGATATGTCTATTCTATATAGATATATTTATTATTATTTCTCAATTTAAGCACCATTCAATTCTTCTGGATCCATTCTGGCTGGAAAATATCCCTAAATCCACAGGATGTTATCTATTTAATGGCACATGTTAACTGAAAATGAGGTGGATTTTTTTTTTTTTAAGAAAAGACCTTAAATTAATTTCTATCTACATCTTAATTGGTTTGTCTTCTGAGCCAGCTCACAATGTCAATGCAATTTCTAGTGCAGGTGTCTCTGAGTGCCCCTTGACCACACCCCGAGGACTGTGGCAGTGTCCTGGCCGTGTGTGGAAGGATCGAAGGGCAGCAGGTGCAGCCTTGCTCTGCACATGGACAGCAGCCGGCTGGTCCACCGCCACGCACCTTCAGCAGTATATCTCCGACACGAGTTCCACCATCCTGCTTCCATAAAGCTGGGAAAGGCCGCAGTCCCTGGGTGCTGCTGGGTGGTGAGGAACTGTCCACCCACAGAAACCCCAGGTGACTGCTTCCAATCACAAATATTTTGTATTTTGCCCATTTTGTATAAGCTTAAATATAGTGTTAAACAAACCTCCAGCCAGTGTATCTGTTATCTTAAAATATTCAATGCATTTTAGGCAGGAGATGTTTTAACTAAAAACCTACATGAAAAAAATAGCTAGAAAAATACAGTGATTGGTGTGGTCATCACTCAAGGTGTGGAGGAGGGAGGAGAGGGTTTCTGAAAAATGGTCAGTTATGCCCTCAGCTTTCAGGCCTGATGTCTTCTCAACACAAAGCAGGACTAAAATCCCAAGAGCTATGTTTCTTCAAGTGTGGCCGTGGCGCCTGCATCAGAGTCACCTGCGGGGCTTATTAGGCATGCAGGTTCCCCAGCAAGCCCCCGAAGGCCAGACGCCTGTGTCTCCAGCTGGCTCTCCAGGGCTCTGATGCCGCCAGTGTTTGAGAAGCCAGGTTTAAAGGCTGGGAGCTGCCAACCACCCTTGTCCCCAAGGAACCCTCCCTGGGATGGGGCGCACTGGTCCTCTGAGTGGCTGGTGTCAGCTAGGCGGCCCTGGGATGGGGACACCCATCCCCACAGCTCTGGGCAGGCAGGCAGACTGGCCTGGGGTCAGTACTGGGGCAGATAGGCTGGCCTGCGCTCAGCCTTCCCAGGGAAGGCCTTGAAGCCCTTGGGTGCTGCCTTATGTGCTGGTGGGGGTGGGGGCTGTGGTGGGGTCTGCACGTAGGAGAAGGCGGCGGCACTGCAGTCGTTGGTTGCGGCCCATACTGGGGACTGCAGCATCTGCATGGTGTCGTTCCACTGGCTGCCGGGGCTGGTGACTGCATAGAGTGGTGCGCTGGGGCTGGGCAGCGTGCTGGGAAGCGGGGAAGGGTGCTGCCAGGGTGCTTTGGGTGGCCACGTTTTGGTTTTGTTATCCTGAGAGACAGAAGAGAGTTCTTAGTGGCATTTTGGGCAATGTATCATCTTTTCCCACCTCCCCAGATCCCTGGCCCTTATTCCCACCTAGGAGGCAGGGTCAGAGCCCCACTCACTCCCACAGCCCTATCCAACAGAACTTCTTGCAATGGTAGCCACTTGCCACATGTGGCTAGTGCAAGCTGAGGACATTTTTTCTTTTTTTTTTGGAGACGCAGTCTGTCTCTCACCCAGGCTGGAGTGCAGTGGCGTGATCTCGGCTCACTGCAACCTCCGCCTCCCGGGTTCAAGCGATTCTCCTGCCTCAGCCTCCTGAGTAGCTGGGATTACAAGCGTGTGCCACCATGCCTGGCTAATTTTTGTATTTTCAGTAGAGACGGGATTTCACCGTGTTAGCCAGGATAGTTTCGATCTCCTGACCTCATTTGTGATCCACCCGCCTCGACCTCCCAAAGTGCTGGGAGTACAGGCATCGCCACTGCGCCTGGCTGATTAATTCTTTTTAAAAAATATTTTAGAGGCAGTCTCGCTCTATCACCCAGGCTGGAGTACAATGGTGCAGTCATAGCTCACTGTAATCTCAAATTCCTGGGTTCAAGCCATCCTCCTGCCTCAACCTCCTGAGCAGCTAGGACTATAGGCATGTGCCACTGTGCCTGGCTAATCTTTTAATTTTTTTGTAGAGACAGTGTCTATGTTGCCTGGGTTGGTCACAAACCTCTGGCCTCAAGCCATCCTTCTGCCTTGGCCTCCCAAAGCACTAGAATTACAGGCATGAGCCACCATGCCCAGCCTAAATTTTTATTTGTATTTAAATTTACATAGCCACATGTGGTAAATGGCTATCCTACTGGACAGCACAGCCGTAGAACGTCCTGTGGCTCTGAGTCAGCTGAGGAGGCTAATCATTTACACAGTTAATCATCACAAAGAAGACCCCTCATTACTCTGAGGCCCTCTGAAAACTGCAGCTGTGGAAGCTAGCCCAAATCTGTGCCCACAAAGCCTGCCTGAATACCTGGTTCACGTCCTCCACTGTGGTGAGGAGAGGTGGTGAGGGCAGCGTGCTGGTGTCCTGCTCTCCACTGCTGTGTTTCCTGAAAGAACCAAGAACTCAGGGCAGTGATTGCCTGGCTTCCTGCCCAGCCCACCTGCATGGGACACACTATTGCTAGGCTGCAGCGACTCCAGGCCCTGGTTCTAGGAGGGGAGGAGGGCTGCATGGGTCCATGGCGTAAAAGGGGCTAAGGGGAGCCCGCACTGAATGATGCGCTCCTGCACGGCCAGTGCAGGCAGAGGAGCTGGGGTTGGGGGTGGCAGGCAAAGACAGGCACCGGCTTTACTCAGATGCTGAGTCCACCTTCTTTGCCTTTTTTTTTTTTTTTTTTTTTGAGACCAAGTCTCACTCTCTTTCCCAGGCTGGAGTGCAGTGGCATGATCTCAGCTCACTGCAACCTCCGCCTCCCAGGTTCAAGCAATTCTTGTGCCTCAACCTCCGGAGTAGCTGGGATTACAGGCGTGTGCCACCATGCGCAGCTAATTTTTGTGTTTTTAGTAGAGATGGGGTTTCACCATGTTGACCTGGCTGACATCAAACTCCTGACCTCAGGTGATCTACCTGCATCAGCCCCCCAAAGTACTGGGATTACAGGTGTGAGCCAGCGGGCCTGGCTGGCTTTTTGTTAATTCATTTAAGAGATACTGTTTCCAAGCACTAAGGATATGTGACTGTTACAAGGTTGAATGAAAAAGGCAGGATGTGGCCAGATCAGAGCCAGCACTCCTGCATGCAGACAACAGTCTCTGCAGAGATGGTGCCAGATGTGACTTCTTAAAAGTTGAATCAGTCATATGTCTGAAACAGCAGTCTCAAACTGCACCCCGTCTCAAACTTGCTCCTCCTGCAGGCTTTGCACCTCAGTTCACGGCACCCTTCACAGAAGCTCAGGCGGAAAACTTGTGTGTCATCCTTGACTCTTCCCCCCTCACCCATACCCCACTGCCAATTCCCCACCAGCTGCTGCTGCACTTTGTTCAGCTCTCTGCTCATCAGAAGTCTCATTGACTAAGTTCTGAAAATAGAATATCCACCTGTTCTCTGCATTTACTACCCTCATACCCTGCTTTATTTTCCTTCAGAGCACCTAGCCTAACCTGACATGATTTTTTGTTTGATTTTTGAGACAGGGTCTCACTCTGTTGCCCAGGCTAGAGTGCAGTGGCACAAACAGAGCTGACTGTAGCCTCAACTTCCCAGGCTCAAGTGATCCTCCCACTTCAGCCTCCCGAGTAGCTGGGACTACAAGTGTGGACAGAAAGCATCTGAATGTGTGCTCAGGATTGGTCACTGCCACCCCCCAGCCCACTACTATTCTGTGTAAGTACCCTTCTGTCTTCACCTACCCGCTCCCCACTGCCTATCCGACGGAGCCTGGCCTGTCCGGCAAGGACCATGTAACCCAGCCTCCAGCTCTGCTCCACAGCATGGCTTCGAGTACCTGGGAGCCCTGCGTACCCTCCACTCCCATGGCCCTTAGTCTGCCACCCTAACCTTGCTTTCATAGCCACAGCAGTTTCTCTACTTATTTCTAACCAAGCTCTCCTCTTAGTTCAGAGCCCATTTTAATTTTTGGGACCACTTTTGAAACATTCTCAGGTCTGAATATGCTATATTACTATTTTTTCGAACTTTGAAATGCCATTCAGAGGTCATTTTATCCATCTTTAATAAAGAGACTGAGGGTCAGTGAGGGCCAGCCCCTTGTCTGGGGTTGCAGAGCCTGTTGGTGAGTCCAGATTAGAACTCGCAACCAAGGGCCTGCTCTTCCCACAGAAAGGGGTGCCTCCTGCAAGGCACAGACCAGCACCAGCCACCCTGTCCCCCAAATCGAGCCGGCACAAGACGAGGCCGGCTCTTCCTTGTGGAAACCGCCTCCTGCAGGCGCTCTTTAGAGGCTTCAGCCAGGCAGTGCTGGAAGAGCCCCTCCTCCCACACAGGGAGACTAGGAGCGACTGGGCTCCTGGCTTTCCCAGGGAGTGAGCCGTGGGTTGCATTCACATGCCCCTCTCTCCCCACCTTGGTTTAGAAATCCCTTCATACCTTCTCTGCTTGACAGCAGCAACGAGGTCAGGCCCTGAAAACATGGAGAACAAGCTGTCCCCGTTAGCTGAGGATGTCTCATCACTCGAGCTGGCAGAGTCTCCCTGAGCACCCGACCAGGCACCATGCAGGCCATCCCTGAAAGCCAGAGAGAGAAGCTGGGCCAGGGCCTCCTGCAGCCCCACCACCCTCCACCCCACCCTGAAAGGGCAGTCCTTACCCTGCATTCATCCCATAACCAAATAGTGGTCTCTTGTCTCTCCCTTCTTAAAACGTGAGGTTTTCCTCCTTTGCCTTATTTCAAAAGTAATACATATTCATCACTTCCCTTTATTCCTCTAAGAAGCCTATGGTTTGTATATGAAATTTGTTTTAGAAAAAACAAGGGAGGGATAGCATGGGGAAGAATAGCTAATGGATGCTGGGCTTAATACCTAGGTGACGGGATGATCTGTGCAGCAAACCAACATGGCACACGTTAACCTTTGCGACAGACTTGCACATCCTGCACGTGTACCCCTGAACTTACAGTAAAAGTTGAAAGAAAAAAAATTTTTTTAAGTTAAAAAAAAAAATTAAGAAGTAAGAAAAAACTAAAAGTTGAGCTGGTCTTTAGTCACCCAGATTTATTAACTAGGTAGCAATATGGGATATAAAAAAATCCCCACTTGTCTTTACGATAAAAATTCGCAATTCTGTCAATATACTAGAATCTCAACTGTACACCTTTGCTTTTTGTAGGCTATAATGACAGCATTCCATAAATCATGTGGGCTTCACAGCCACACTCATTTCAGTATAAAGGCCATGTTAAATATGCATTTATCTTACAAGCACCATCATGTAAGAGCCTTGTCTAGGGCTGAAGAGTCTGTTTTGAAAATCATGAATGTATACCAATGGCATGTTCACAGGGACACAACACACTACTTAGCATCTAACAGTCAGCCACATGACTCTGACCCCTAAAGATTTAATCCCATGTCACTCTCTCACACGGGGGCTTGGAATTGAACTGCTTGAAAAGAATGCCCACAGGCAAGGAGCCTCCCTTCTCACAGGACCCTCGGGGGACACTTGGGTCTCAAACTCGGATTCCGTGCAGTACCCAGCACTCACCCTTCTGTGAAGAACTCGGGGAAGGGCCAGGTCCGATGGGCGTCATCCATAGGCGGCCAGTTGCCCCGGGGGTTGCCTGGCCGGCGACCATGCTGGGCCTGCCGCTTCTGCTGCATCGCCTGGCTCACTCCTGCCACATAGCGTGCAAACTCTGGGTCTGAGCCCACTGCATGGCGACAAAAGGAACAAACCGGGTTTGGGGAGAAACTGGCCTCTTAGTCCTTCCCTATGCTTTGCTGACATGCTGGTCACACATGCAATGAAAGGCCGTGAGGAGCTGCCAGGCTTTTGCCCCACAGCGTGGGCTGTAGGCTGTGCCCAGCACCCTGCTGTGGGGAGATGGGACTTGTAGCACCTAGGGCTAAGGCACAGTGTGTGCCAGGGATGTCTGGAAGGGCATTGCCTAGGACAGAGGCAGGTAAGTGTGAAAGAAACAAAAAGAAAGAAAAATGGTTTGATTTACCCATGATTAGATTTTAAAGACAAATACTAATCACTTAAAAAAATTTCTAGCATCAGCCAGGCACAATGGCTCACTCCTGTAATCCTAGCATTTTGGGAGCATGAGGTGGGCAGATTGCTTGAGCCCGGAAGTTCGAGACTAGCCTGGCCAACATGGAGAAACCTCGTCTATACAAAAATTAGCTGGGTGTGGGCCAGGCGCGGTGGTTCACGCCTGTAATCTCAGCACTTTGGGAGGCCGAGGCAGGTGGATCATGAGGTCATGAGTTCAAGACCAGTCTGGCCAAGATGGTGAAACCCTGTCACTACTAAAAATACAAAAATTAGCTAGGTGCGGTGGCAGGTGCCTGTAATCCCAGCTACTCGGGAGGCTGAGGCAGGAGAATCGCTTGAACCCAGGCGGCAGGGGTCACAGTGAGCCAAGATCGTGCCATTGCACTCAGCCTGGGAGAAAAAGCAAGACTCTGTCTCAACCAAAAAAAATAAAAAATAAAAATTAGTTGGGTGTGGTGGTGTGCACCTGTAGTCACAGCTACTTGGGAGGCTGAGGTGGGAGGATCACTTGAGCCCAGGAGGTGGAGGTTGCAGTGAGCCAAGATTGCACCACTGCACTCCAGCCTGAGAGAAAGAGCTAGACTCTGTCTTAAAAAAAAGAAACAAAAAACAAAAACAAAACACCTGGGCTGGGCTTGGTGGCTCATGCCTGTAATCCCAGCACTTTGGGAGGCCGAAATGGGTGGATCACCTGAGGTCAGGAATTCGAGACCAGCCTGGCCAACATGGTGAAAACCCGTTTCTACTAAAAATACCAAAAATTAGCCGGATGTAGTGGCAGGCACCTGTAATCCCAGCTACTCAAGAGGCTGAGACAGGAGAATCACTTGAACCCGGGAGGCGGAGGTGGCAGGGAGCTGAAATCGCGCTATTGCACTCTAGCCTGGGTGACAAGAGCGAAACTCCAACTTAAAAGAAGTCCAGGCCGGGCGCGGTGGCTCAAGCCTGTAATCCCAGCACTTTGGGAGGCCGAGACGGGCGGATCACGAGGTCAGGAGATCGAGACCATCCTGGCTAACACAGTGAAACCCCGTCTCTACTAAAAATACAAAAACTTAGCCGGGCGAGGTGGCAGGCGCCTGTAGTCCCAGCTACTTGGGAGGCTGAGGCAGGAGAATGGCGTGAACCCGGGAGGCGGAGCTTCCAGTGAGCTGAGATCCGGCCACTGCACTCCAGCCTGGGTGACAGAGCGAGACTCCGTCTCAAAAAAAAAAAAAAAAAAAGAAGTCCAGCGTCTTGGTGCTCTGTACCTAGAGTCATTAGCTAACAACTTAGAAAATCAGATGATGACTTTGGCCAACTGATAACCTAAAAGTTAACAAAGCATCAAAGCATTGGGGTCAGCCAGATAGAGGTTATATGCTGTTCCCACTTGAGCTAAAGTTTGATCTGGTATTTTCCTGGCTATTGGCCAGGAGATTTGCTCATTCCATCTGAACATCTTAAGTGTGGCAAAGAATAAAATGCAACTTCAGAATGCTTTAAGAGGTGGCTGGAAACACTGGCAGTGCTGAATGGGGATATGCAGGGCAGTACAAATGAGAGAAAAGCACAGATGGCGTTTACAGAAAGTGTCAAAAAAAAACATATGGCAGGAAAGCATCCATGAATCATAAATGTGACTCAGCAATTCATTTTTTAGCTTAAAATTAGGGAAGATACTAGGGCACAATTCCATTACCAGCTTATCCTAGGGCACTGTCACAAGACGATCTCAGTCACACTGTCCTGTCTCCCGTCCCCCATCCCGCACTGAGTTTGCCTATCCAGACGGGTGCACTAGCTGGCGCCCTCTGATTCTGTCCAGAGGGGTGCTCCTCCTTAATCTGCATCAAGGGCTATGCAGATCTTATGCCTTTGGGGCAGGTAGAAAACTACACCATGGACTTCAGGGGCAGAAAGGAACACCCAGAAGGGAAAGAGTAGGATTTGTCGTCTACAGACATAAGAGGTGTCCAGGACTCAGAGGTCAAATATGGTAACATTCTTATTCAAAAAAAATTTTTTTTTTTTTTTTTTGAGACGGAGTCTCGCTCTGTCGCCCAGGCTGGAGTGCAGTGGCGCGATCTCAGCTCACTGCAAGCTCGCCTCGGGTTCACGCATTCTCCTGCCTCACCTCCGATAGCTGGCGGACTACAAGCCGCTGCCACCGATTGCCTGAGCCTACGCTTCTGTTTGCTAATTTTTATAGTAACAAGAATGAACAGGGTTGTCACCGTTCTCGCCAGAGAGTCTCCGAATTCCTGGACCTCGTGATCCGCCCGTCTCGGCCTCCCAAAGTGCTGGGATTACAGGCGTGAGCCACCGCGCCCGGCCTTAAAAAAAAATTTTTTTTTAGACAAGAGTCTCACTCTAGTTATCCAAGCTGGAGTGCAGTGGTCCCATCTCAGCTCACTGCAACCTCTGCCTCCCGGGTTGAAGTAATTCTCGTGCCTCAGCCTCCCAGGTGGTTGGGACTACCACACTTGGCTAATTTTTTTGTACTTTTGGTAGAGACGGGGTTTTACCATATTGGCCAGGCTGGTCTTGAACTCCTGGCCTCAAGCAATCTGCTGGCCTCAGCCTCTCAAACTGCTGAGACTACAGGCGTGAGCCACTGCGCCCGGCCTCAAATATGATACGATTCTGACAAATACTGTTTATATTCTGAATTTAGTTACATGACAGTCAAAAAATGTACAGACCATTTATGATCAGAGAAAACGCACTGTGCCCACAGCAGTGGGTGGTAGCCAGTGGGCTTGCTGTTTCTTAGCAGGATGGAGGTGTTTACCCTTCTTGTGGCCCAGGGTTGCAGGCACAAGGATTTCCTATATCCATCCACCCAGGGGGAGCAAGCACAAGACAGCAGGAGCAGCGGCATGAAGAATTTTCAGAAGACACGAGCAATGGTCAGGTGCGGTGGCTCAAGCCTGTAATCTCAGGACTTTGGGAGGCTGAGGTGGGTGGATCACCGGAGATCAGGAGGTCAAGACCAGCTTGACCAACATAGCAAAACCCCGTCTCTACTAAAAATATAAAAATTAGCCGGGTGTGGTGGTGGGTGCCTGTAGTCCCAGCTACTCAGGAGGCTGAGGCAGGAGAATCATTTTGAGCCAGGAGCAGAGGTTGCAGTGAGTGGGGATCGTGCCACTGCACTCCAGGCCTGGGCAACAACGCGAGACTCTGTTTCAAAATAAAAAAAAAAAAAAAAAAAGGAGTGTTAACCCCAGCATTAACTTCCCTCCTGTAACAAGTGCGGGGGTGTTTCAGCAAGGAATCTCTTCTGGTGGGGATTTACTTGTACAAGTATTTGCTATACTTATTTGTAATATTTCACAGTACTCACCTGTGAATGAAATACATTTTCTACTTCTGTATGCCTTTTGCTATTTAATTAGAGAAAAAAGTTTGCATGTACCTATGTTACCAAATTCTCTTACTAATTTTAGATTTTTTGGCGGGGGGGGGGGTTCAATTATATTATTAGCAAAAAGATGTGCTGCTTAATCTATCATTTTCCAAAGCTTGGACCACTTATTTCATTGCTTTTTGTCTTGCTGCATTTGCTGTGAAGTCCAAGACAAAGTTACATGCTACAGGTGATAACAGTTGCCCTTGTCTGATTCCTGATATTAACTGAAATGATTTTTGTTTCATTATATAAGGCACTATTTGCTATTAGCTTTTGGTAGATAGTCTTTTTTGTTTTTCATTTATTTACTTATTTTTTAGAGACAGAGTCTCACTTTGTTGCCCAGGCTGGGCTGCTGTGGTGTGATCATGGCTCACTGCAGCCTCAACCTCCTGAGCTCAAGCGATCTTCCCACCTCAGCCTCAAGGCGCTGGGACTACAGGCATGTGCCACCACACCCGGCTAATTTTTTATTTTTTGTAGAACTATGTTGGCCAAACTGGTCTTGAACTCCTGGCCTCCTGCAATCTGCCTACCTCAGCCTTCCAAAGTGCTGGAATTACAGGCATGAGACAGCGTGCCCGGCCAGGTTTTCCACTTCTTGGTATAATTTTGTAATGCCTATTTTGCTAGGAAAGAATCGATTTTCTGCTGTTTCCAAATGTATTGCTATTAAGTCTTAGATGGTGATGACTTAAAGTGGCTTTTTTTTGAAATAGGGTCTCTGTCTGTCATCCAGGCTGGGGTGTAGTGGCATGATCACAGCTCACTGCAGCCTCAAAATCCTGGGGTCAAGGGATGCTACTGCTGCAGCTTCCTAAGCACCACCACACCCAGCTGATTTTTTGTTTAGAGATGAGGGTTTTGTGATGTTGACCAGGCTGGTCTTGAACTCCTGGCCTCAAGTGATCCTCCCGCCTCAGCCTCTCAAAGTGCTGGGATTACAGGCATGAGCCACTAAAGTGCTTTTAATGTATCCTATTTCCTAATTTTGTTTCTCTTTGTTCTCTCTTAATCAAGCTTAGAATAAATTGGCTTATATATTTTATTGGTCTTCCAAAGATCCTTTAGAGTTATTTGCAATTTCTACTCTATTTTTCTTTTTAATTTACTTATTTTTGGCTTTTCCCCCTTAATTCCTCCTCCTAGTTTGTTCTTGTTTGTAAATTCCTTCTCTAATTTCTTAAGATGACTCTGGTGGTATTTTCATTGTCTAGGCCAGGAAAAGCTGTTTTCTATGAAGGCAGGAGGGTGTCTGTCACCTATCATAAGCCCTAGAGTTTAGGCAAAAAAAAAGCATCGCAAAGAACAGGTTATATAATCAGGAAAAAAGCACCCCACAAAAGACTGTTGATCTTGGCTACTGGGAGTGGGCAGGCCTAGACTGGAGCCCACTTGAACTATGGGACTTTGAGCTATTCAAGTAACCTCTCTTAGCCTCAGTTCTGTTCTCCATAAAGTAAGAAAAATAGTCCACTCACATTCTCAGCCCCTTTCTCACCACTGTTTCCCACTCTTGCTAGATCTGCCCCACACTCGCCTCCACAGTGAGAAAGGGTCGTAAAGGGGGATTAAGTGATTTCACCTTCACAAGTAAGGCTGCGGTAGACAAGCCCTGGGAAGACCTCAGCAGTTGCGTTTGCTGTTGACACTGGGCGAGGGGTGGGAGGCCTCACATACCTGCAGGATCGAAAGGCAGAATCTCTCCCAGCATTCCAAAGACTCCATCGCTTTGGTCACGGTTTGGCCATGTGTTATTTCTAGGTCCCTGCGGCTTCTGTCCCAGAACCTCTGACATCACGTTATCCATATAGCTGCTCACCAGACCCAAGCTGTACAAGTCAGAACTGAGATCAGATATGCCAGGCCACTGACCAAGAGGAGACAGACCTGCTCCAACAGTCTGCCCTGGCTGTTGGGATGAGCCATGTACCCATTTCCCAGGTGCCCGAGGCTGGGGCGGGGGCTGCTGCGGTCCAATGGGCTGGAGTAGGTGTTGGTAGTATTGGACTTGAGGTTGTTGCTGCTTTGGGGACTGCTGCTGAGGTGCCAGTCCCGGCTGGGGTGTCAGAGGTGTGTGTGCCCCAGCCTGGGGTGCCCGTGGTGGAGGGGGCACGGGCAGTGACGGCTGCTGTGGCTGCATGGCTCCTGCCTTCTGCTCAGTCACCATGGCTGTGGCAGCAGAATTACGCCTTGTCACCAACGGAGAGCCCTGATGTGACTGGCCCATGTTAAAGCCCGAGAGAAAATCTATCACCTCTTGCATTTCCTGATCAGTTGGTAAGTTCATACCCTTCTCATCCTTGCCATCATCTCCATGCAGGAAGTTCTCACGCCTCTCCATGAGAAAGCCATTGGCCACTGGATTACTGGAATTCTGAGCTGACTGTGAAGGGTCTGTAGTCCTGGGGAAATTGCCAATGTTCAAAATGCTTTGTAACCTTGTATCAATATTGCCAGGCATTTTGGCCTTCTCTTCTGAACATCCAGCTATGAAGATGTTTTTAGAAGGGGTATTTTGGATGGAATAATTTGTGCTGCTGCTGGAGCTAGTACATGAAGCTTTCTTGGTGAACCGGGATGTCAGTTTGGAGAATGTCTTCTGCAGGCCACCTGAAGATTTGTTTCCATTTCCAGAAGGCAGGTCAGCCTGGTTGCCAAAATCACAGATCTCCCTTTGCAGCTGGATCTGTATGCAGGGTAAAGCTTGCTCCCTATTTAAACAGAAATTTGTTAAAAAAAAAAAAAAAAAAAAGACAAATATATAAAATAATAGAATGGACCTCTTTGTATTTAAGAATGGTGGTTCACTTATTTTATAAATAAATGAACACCCAGGGGTTTGGAGAGTATGAAATCTACAGTGTCTAACGCAGGACTGGAAGTTCTGCTAGGATTCTGGCCTGAGGAGTGTGATTGAGTGAAATCCTCTAATGGTGGCACAGGAGGGGAAAGCATGGCTAGATGTGGGGATGCAACTTGCAGAAGCTAGCTTTGTACCTGGAGGACAGGGGCTACAGCCACGCAAATACAGCAGAGGGACAATGGACAACTCCACAAAGCAGAGGGAGGTGGTGGGGGGATGCAGGGATACTATGGACCAAAGTTGTCCCAAAAGATGGCTATGACTTTCAAAGTTTCCTGAGCACATTTTCCCCATACTAAAATGGAGCCCTACAGAGCGAAAGGGCATGGGGCAGGAGCTGAGGCAGGTGAAGGCTGTGTGGCCCTGGAAAAGTCACTTCACTATTCTGGCCTTTGTGTACTCATGAGTTAAGAAAGGGAGAAAAGGTTGGGCATGGTGGCTCACGCCTGTAATCCCAGCACTTTGGGAGGTCAAGGCAGGCAGATCACTTGAGGTCAGGAGTTTGATACCAGCCTGGCCAACATGGCGAAACCCTATCTTCATGAAAAATACAAAAATTGGCTGGGCATCATGGCGCACACCTGTAATCCCAGCTACTCGGGAGGCTGAGGTAGGAGGATGACTTGAGCCCAGGAGCTGGGGGAGGCTGCAGTGAGCTGAGATTGCACCACTACACTCCAGCCTGGCTGGGTGACAGAGCCAGATCCTATAAAGACAAGACGACAAAACCAAACACAAAGACCAAGACAGAAAAGAAAAAAAAAAGAAAAGAAAAGAAAAGGGAGAGGGGCCATGGCTAGATGTTTAAGGCTCCTACCAGATGTATACACATTTTTCAAGTTCAACCTGAGAGAACGGATTGAAAAAGAAAACAAATTCTAAAAGACATAAGTAAATTTTCCAAACATTTCTCTGTTCTTAATTCATAACGAGAATATGAGTTAAAAGTCCTCTTGATGGACTTCCTCTCAAATGACAAAACAAAGGAAGGCAAAAATGTTAGCAAATAGGATTATCTGGGTACAGGGCATGGAGCAGTTCTTTGTATCATTCTTGCCACTTTGCTGCAGGTTTTAAATTATTCTGAAAATAAAAGTTACTAAAAAGTCCGTATTGCCTTATTTACAATACCGCATACTATCAGTGACACAAGCACACATGAAATTGTGCATAGTCACACTGTCCCCTCAGTATGCATCTAAATGCAAACCACAGACAATTTAAGTGACCCGCACAGACACCAACCTTCCAGCCCTCCAGCGGTTTAGGTCCAGCACGGCTGTGTAGAGCACATCCACCAGACCCAGGGTCTTCTCAGGATCAAGGCTTCTCTGCAGCAGGGACATGGTGGCAGGGTCTTCTTTCAGGCACCTAGGCACAGATTAGGCTGCATTAGTCTTGGCTGCCCTTCTCTGCAAAGGTGTTTCAAGCAGGTCTCATAGAAAAGGCTACAACTTTTATGTACTTCTCGCGCCCAACAAAAATTCAGTAACTGTAAGAACACGGAGAAAACAACAGGGCTGACCCTGGAACTCACTGCTCCACAAGAGGAGGAGGAAGCAAAAGGGTCTGAGGTCTCGTGATATCAGAATATATATTTGGTCTCTGCCTCCAGTTCCTCATACAGAGCTCCTAAAACCCTTGAGATTTCCTGGATGATAGTGTCTTTTGTTCTAATAAGATGACTTGCTTATATGATGAAGCCTCCATAAAAATCATTAGATCATCGGGTTCTGAGAACTTCCACGCTGGTGAACACACTGAGGCATGGGGCACACCTGGCAAGGGCATGGAGGCTCGGGGCCCCATACTACACACTGCACGCTATGCACCTCTTCACCTGGCTGTGTATCTGCTATAATATCCTTTATAACAAACCATAAATGTAATTAAATGTTTTACCGAGTTCTGTGAGACATTATAGCAAAATATCAAACCTGGAGGTTATGGGAACCCTCAACTTATAGCCAATTGGTTAGAAGTCGGGTGACCACCTGGGACTTGTGGATGGCATCTGAAGTGGGAAGTAGCCTTGCAGGGCTGAGCCCTTAACCTGTGGGGTCTGTGCTAGCTCAGACATTCTGATTCCTGCTGACTTCTCTAATAAGTAAACAACACAACTGTCTACCACAAAACTTACACATCCTCTCTAGTTCCTCACATCTTGCATGCAATCCATCAGTGAATCCTGACAGCTCTTCTTATAAAACACATCCATAATCCAAGCACTTCTCACCACCTTGTTTATGAACCCCCTGCTTCAGGAAACCACCACTCCTGGGTTTCAGGACCAAGCTCTCACCTGGTCTCTTTTTCTCTACTCCTGTACCTCCAAAGCCCATCCTTCACATAGCAGCCAGAGCGAGCTTCCCGTAGTGCCAATCAGAGCACATCACTCCCCTGCTTAAAACCCTTCAACGGCATCTCATCGTGATTGAAATAAAATCTAAACCCTCACCACAGTCCTCAAAGCCCTCTGTGCCCAGCCCTTCCATCTTGTCCCAGCCGTGAGGCCTTCTCTTTCCCTGGATGGGTTTGTCCACACCTAGGACCTTTGTTCTTGCTGCTGCCTTTGCCCGAATTTCTCTTTCCTGAGATTTGGATATGGCCAACTGCTTCTCATCATTTGGGTCTCCACTGTCCATTCAGGGTACCTACACCAAGAGCCCCCCAACCTTTTTTTGAGACAGAGTCCCACTCTGTCCTCAAGGCTGGATTGCAGTGGTGTGATCAAAGTTCACTGCATCCTCAACCTCCTGGGCTCAAGCCATCTTCCCATGTCAGCCTCCCAAGTAGCAGGGACTACAGGCGTGTGCCACCGCACCCGGCTAATTTTTTAATTTTTTTGTAGAGACGGGGTCTCACTATGTTGCTCAGGCTGGTCCTGAACTCCTTAGCTCAGGTGATCCTCCTGCCTCAGCCTCCCAAAGTGCTAGGATTACAGGTGTGACCCAGTTGGTCCAGCCAAGAGCCCTTTTCTGAGAGGGAAACCAGTCTGAGCAGCACAGGTCTACTAGGAAGATGATGTCTGCCAAATCCTGGGCACTCTAGGAGCTAAATGGTGAACTCAACACTTGCAAAGTCACCCAAGGAGGTAGCAGTACTCCCTAACATGACTTGGACTTGGGAAGAAATGTATCAAAGAAATGCATAAGAGCATGAAATGAGAGTCAGCCAGGCTCTGAAGCACAGGAAAGGGTGAACAACAACGCAAGCTCTGCTAGTGCCCAGCTAGACCTTGGACTCCTCAGAGAGAATCTTGGCAACTGAGCCTGCCCAGGGTTCAGTGCACCCAATTCTCTCCGTCTGGAATCACTGATAATCAGGACACATTTGCTCTTGTTCCCAAGCCAAGTCTCGTTGTGACTTGCCTTGTCACATGTTTGCCCACTAGGAAAGCATTTGTTGGCCATGCAGAAAAGAGTACTACAGTTCCTGGTGATAATAATTAATCTTTCTGAAAAATCAACAATCAACAAACTGGCATTTTTATTTTATTCATCAGTCTTGAGCTGATCAATAAAATGCCCTTAAGTGGCTAAACCCATTCTGCTGACAAATCATCAAGACTTGCTTAAAACCCTGTACCTGTTCTTAGATTAAAAGCCCAGTTCCCTCAAGGGCCCTGCAAGTCTTGACATCTATAACTTCCCGTCCTTATCACCACCTAGTGCATCTCATTCCATGCTGGTTCACTCCTGAAGCCTCTGCACTGGCATTCCTTCTGCCTGAAGTGTGCTCCTCATCTGCTCTCTCCATGGCAGGCTCCTCTCAAATCCAACGTCATATCGTCAGAACCCCTTCCAGACTGACTCGTCTAAAAATCTCCCCCCAATCTCTATCCCACTTATTCTCTATCATATATTGGCACTCTCCTCTCATTTCCATCATATGCCTGCCTGTGTTTGAACTCATCTCTTATACTTAACAGCTGTCTCCCCCTTCTCTATTCTCAAGTTGGTTTATGAGGAGCAGGGACCCTGTGTGTCTTGCTCATAATTAAATTCCCAGAGCCCAGAACAGTGTCTGGTACACAATAAGTATTCAGTAAATATTCAGTGAAATGAAGCATGGATAGATAGCAATATCCTTTTTCTCCTGGTGGAGTAAAGCAATCATTTCTGTTTGTATTCTTCCCAACAAGCACATACAGTATTCTGTAATTTGAAAAAAACAAAAGAATTAAAATTTTGCAAAATTACCAAAAGCAGCCAGCAGAGGGAGCCTCTGCAAGGACTCACAGTCTACAAGGTCTTTTTTGTGGGGGTGCAATGAGTTACAAAGGAAATCAACCCCACAGGGAGAATTTTCAAAATAAACTGAAGTGTTAGCCATTTTTGCATTGGCTGTTTATATTCACCCAACCATCCAAAACTTCAAACTGTTTTCTTCAAAATGAGAATTCTGATTAAGTTTTAACATTTTCCAATGACAGCCTGAATTGGAAAAATTTAAGAATTCAGGGCCGGGTGCAGTGGCTCACGCCTGTAATCCCAGCACTTTGGGAAGCCAAGGCGGGTGGATTACCCAAGGTCATGAGTTTGAGACCAGCTTGGTTAACATGGTGAAACCCCATCTCTACTAAAAATACAAAAATCATTAGCTGGGCATGCAGGTGGGTGCCTGTAATCCCAGCTACTAAGGAAGCTGAGGCAGGAAAATCATTTGAACCCAGGAGACGGAGGTTGCAGTGAGCCGAGACAGTGCCATTGCACTCCAGCCTGGGCAACAAGAACAAAACTATCTCAAAAAAAAAAAAAAATCAGGAACACATTTCAGTAGAACACTGACTACAAAAGAGAAAAAAAAAAGAATTTAGGAACACAAAAATCTTACAGAAAAGTGAGCCTCTGGTTTACTGTTTGATAGAAATGAAAATATGTGTATAAATTACCATTAATTTCAGGACACAGTATGCCACCCTATAATTAACTTAAAATTTTGGGCCAGGTACAGTAGCTCATGCCTGCAATCCCAGCACTTTGGGAGGCCAAGGCAGTGGGATCACTTGAACCCACGCATTTCAGACCATGCTGGCCAATATAGTGAGACCTCATCTCTACAAAAAAACTTAAAAATTAGCCAGGCATGGTGGCGCATGCCTGTAGTCCCAGCTACTTGAGAGGCTAGGGTGGTAGGATTGCTCGAGACCAGGAGTTCAAGGCTACAGAAAGCCATGATCACACCACTGCCCTCCAGTCTAGGGGACAGCGTGAGATCTAGTCTCTACCAAAAAAAATTAATTTAAAAACATAAAAACTTTTTGGTGGCAGAGTACTTATAGAAGGGAGGTTTTAGGACACAAAGTGAACTGCCAATCTTTACTTAATATATTCATAGACTCTAAACATTTTTTACAGAATCTACTATTGTACTCTTACATTTTTTGTTGTTGTTGTTGTTGAGACTGAGTCTGGCTCTGTCGCCCAGGCTGGAGTGCAATGGCCGGATCTCAGCTCACTGCAAGCTCCGCCTCCCGGGTTTACGCCATTCTCCTGCCTCAGCCTCCAGAGTAGCTGGGACCACAGGCGCCCGCCACCTCGCCCGGCTAGTTTTTTGTATTTTTAGTAGAGACGGGGTTTCACCGTGTTAGCCAGGATGGTCTCGATCTCCTGACCTAGTGATCCGCCTGTCTCGGCCTCCCAAAGTGCTGGGATTACAGGCATGAGCCACCGCGCCCGGCCTGTACTCTTACATTTCAAGAACAAATGGGCCAGGCGCGGTGGCTCACGCCTGTAATCCCAGCACTGTGGGAGGCCAAGGCGGGTGGATCACCTAAGGTCAGGAGTTCAAGACCAGCCTGGCCAACATGGTGAAACCCTGTCTCTACTAAAAGTACAAAAATTAGCCAGGCGTGGTGCCGTGTGCCTGTAATCCCAGCTACCCAAGAGGCTGAGGCAGAAGAATCACTGGAACCCAGGCGGAAGAGGCTGCAGTGAGCTGAGATTGCGCCACTGCACGCCAGCCTGGGTGACAGACCAAGACTCCATCTCGAAAAAAAAGGAAAAGAAAAAAAAAAAAAAGAACAAATGGTTTAAATACAACTTGTATGCCTTACCCAACTACCATTTTAGTTCACATAGGCACCAACGGCGCCTCTTTGTTCCTTAGTATTTCTGCCTACTTAAATGATTTAAATATTTTCTCTTATAGCTAAATATTCATGCAGATTACCATTTTAATAGCAAATGCCTTCCAATATATGCTTAATTTTTCCTGTTTATTAATAAAACTATGATGCTCATCCTTATAGTTGAATGTGAATACATATCACAAAGATAAATTTCTAGAGGCGAAACTGGAATTATTGAGGTCATATCCCTTATTTTAGGCTTCTAATATACTAAACTGCCCTCCAGAAAGGCTGTATTTATTCAACAACCCTTCTGCCTGTTTTCACAGTCTGGCTCAAACTAGTATTGTCACTATATTTAGTATAGTTATTCTAAAACAAGTTAACAATATTCTGGGCAAAATGACATCATATTTTTTTTTTTTTGGAGATGGGGTCTCGCTCTGTCACCCAGGCTGGAGTGCAGTGGCACGATCTCTGCTCACTGCAATCTCTGTCACCCAGGCTTAAGCAGTTCTCCTGCCTCAAGCTGGGATTACAGGTGCACACCACCATGCTGGGCTAATTTTTGTATTTTTAGTAGAGACAGGGTTTCGCCACATTGGCCAGGCTGGTCTCGAACTCCTGACCTCAGGCAATCCACCCGCTATGACCTTCCAAAGTGCTGGAATTATTACAGGTGTGAGCCACCCCACCTGGCCCCATATGGTTTCTTTACTTTGTCTCTGATTATTATTTTTTTTTTTTGAGACAGTTTTGCTCTATCGCCCAGGCTGGAGTGCAATAGTGCAATCTCAGTTCACTGCAAACTCCACCTTCCAGGTTCAAGCGATTCTTGTGCCTCAGCTTCCTGATTAGCTGGGATTACAGGCCCCTGCCACCATGCCTGGATAATTTTTGTATTTTTAGTAGAGATGGGGTTTCACCACATTGGGCAGGCTGGTCTCAAACTCCTGACCTCAGGCAATCTGCCTGCCTTGGCCTCCCAAAGTGATAGGATTACAGGTGTGAGCCACCACACCTGGCCATTACATTTTCTTAATCTATTTGTTGATCATATGTCTTCTTTTCTGACTTAGCTGTTCATGTCCCTTGACCATTTTCTTCTGATTTGTAGGAACTTTAAAAAAAAAAAAAAATTAAGAACAATCTTTTATCTATTATAAGTGTTACAAATATAATATCTAAAAATGACTGTCCCAAGATTTGTAAAGACATTGGGTGTGTCATAACATGAGTTCAAGATCATCAGGGTTGTAGTTGGAACAGAGGAGAAGGAATTCTATGTTCTCTACTCAGCTTTAGTGAACACTGGGTGAGAGAAAATGATATACTATGTTTAAATGCTGTAGACTCAGTAACAAAGATAATACTGCTCATTATGATCCAAGAATATATAACATTTTAGTTACCTTATGGTCAATGAGATCATTTTTCAGACCTCTTGGCTTTCTCATCATAGACCAATAATCATGACACATGCCACTAACATATCACTGCTGCCCATAAACCTGCACGTGCAGCAAGACTTGCTGCGTCAGCCAGCGTGGGGATTGTTCAAAACAAGGCCATCATTTCAAAGATGTGCAAACGTCAGTGAGAGCTTAGGCTCCGGTGAAAGTAAGAGGCACGTTACCATGTGGATGGGACTTGAACCACGATTCTAGAGCCTTCTAAACTGATCTGGGGGGCATAGGCTTCTTTATTCTCAATCTGTGCTGTGTCAACCACCACCTAAGATAGAAAAAAACAACAAATAACAACAACCAGCTTTCAGAGAGGAAAACGCATCAGAAAAAAATCCAATACATAAAATGACTCTCTAAGAACTATTCCCCTAGCAGCCTAGTTATGCCAAGGCCAGTCAGGGCCCCACGAAGACAACAGCAAGCAGTAAAGATGACCAAATCTAAGAACATTTCAACAAACACAAACCACATTCTGGGCATGGGATTTACTGAACTGGCAAGCACCTCTAGCACTTTTTCCAAACTATAAATATGTTAATTAGGAGGAATTAATGTGTGTCCTTTATCTTAGTATTTTTTACTTTATGCACTTAAAAGAAGTAAAAGTATCACTGAAAGTCAAACCAGGCTGGGTGCAGTGGCTCACGCCTGTAATCCCAGCACATTGGGAGGCTTAGGTGGGTGGATCACTTGAGGTCAGGAGTTTGAGACCACCATGGCCAACATGGTGAAACCCCCATCTCCACTAAAAATACAAAAATTAGCCAGGCGTGGTGGTCCTGCAGTGCAAGCTACTTGGGAGGCTGAGGCAGGAGAACTGCTTGAACCCGGGAGGCAGAGGTTGCAGGGAGCTGAGATCGTACCACTGCACTCCAGCCTGGGCGACAGAGTGAGACTCCATCTCAAAAAAAAAAAAAAAAAAAAAAAAGTCAAACCAATGCTTCAGATAAGCCCATTTGTCATGACATGCCCAGAAGTGGATGAAACTTTTTTTAAAGATTATTTTATCCTCAACTATCAATAAAAACTGAACTACTTCAGGACAGAGGAAGAACTAACCCCTTTTTGAATAATTTCCTCTTATTTCCAGGAAGAGTCTTTAATACTAGATAGGTGATAGAGTATCCTATGTAATCTAGAGTCTGACAAAGTGATGAATATATTTCAAATAACTAAAAGAATGTTTTTATTTTATTTTATTTTTTTGAGATGGAGTCTTGCTGTGTGGCCCAGGCTGGAGTGCAGTGGCGTGATCTCGGCTCACTGCAAGCTCCGCCTCCCGGGTTCACGCTATTCTCCCGCCTCAGCCTCCGAGTAGCTGGGACTACAGGCGCCCGCGACCACGCCCGGCTAGTTTTTTTATACTTTTAGTAGAGACGGGGTTTCACCATGTTAGCCAGGATGGTCTCGATCTCCTGACCTTGTGATCCACCCGCCTTGGCCTCCCAAAGTGCTGGGATTACAGGCTTGAGCCACCGCGCCCGGCCAAGAATGTTTTTAAAAATCATAAAATATTTAAAAACCAAATCTGTAATATTTCAGAAGGGGTAAAACTGTATAGAGTTGTGTATCATATTCCAAACTCAGGATCTAATGCAGCCAGCTTTCACTGGTTTAAAGAGTTCCCATAGCTGATCTGCAATGACCTTTGGAAAAAACTTCCTGTCAAAGGAATAGCCATTGTTGGACCACACAGGTGTTTCCTCTCTCCTCCCATCCCCAGAACCATAACCTAAAGTCATACATAAAAGTATCCTGCAATCAAGACGCAAGGAACTAGGAAGAAGTTTCTGCTCTCTGAATAACATGGAACTTTTTTTTTTTTAACCTACAGTGTTTTCTCAAAATAGCCTTTGTGCCTTTTGGCCTTATTTTGCACACTTCTTTCAGGGGAACTCATTGGCATGGTCCTTGCAGTTTCAGCTAAATGGTCTCTGGGAGTATAGATCGGTATCGTAAAGCCAATGGGCTTTTCCATGCTTCAGCAAGGCATGTCTGGTTTACTACTTCTTTTGGAGGTCCCTATACTGAAGAGAAGATCCCAAAGGAAATGTAATTCATTACTGTGAACAGGCCCTCATCTGAGTCTCCACAAGGCAGCCCCACCCGGAGCTGGGCTGCCTGAGCCCTGACCCGCTTGAAACAAAAGGACAGCATACCCTCAATAGCTCTTTATGTGAATAAAGTAGGAATCAGACTAAAAAACAAGTTCTTTAATTTTCTTAATCTCCAATTAGGTCCTTCCAACCTCTGACTGAAATGCCGTATCTTTTTTTTTTTTTTTTGAGACTGGGTCTTACTCTATCACCCAGGCTGGAGTGCAGTGGTGCAATCTCGGCTCATTGCAACCTCTGACTCCTGGGCTCAAGTGATTCCCATGCTTCAGCCTCTCAAGTAGCTGGGATTACAGGTGCCCGCCACCACACCTGGCTAATTTTTGTATTTTTAGAGACGAGGTTTCGCCATGCTGGCCAGGCTGGTCTTGAACTCCTGACCTCAGGTGATCTACCTGCCTCGGCCTCCCAAAGGGTTGGGATTACAGGTAGGTGTGAGCCACCATGCCCTGCCACCATATCTTTTTCAAAAGTTGTCATTTACTAGAAAGGGAGATCAAATACATAAGATTCTATGGGTCAGTGGTGCAAACAAAAAGCTACATGGTGGTTTCAGATGTTGATCTCCTGACCCACTCAACTCTGGCCAAAGTTTTTTTTTCTCTGAAAGATGAACAAATCATTATTTTTTAGTTGATGTTACTTTACTGCTAAGAAGGAGATAAACAGAACTGGTATACAGTGACTGGATCAGGGCACTACTTATACCATTGTGGTCAAGGTAGGCCTCTCAGAGGAGGTGATTTTGGAGCTGACAACAGGAAGATAAGGAGTGACCCACATGATAATCAGAAAGAAGAGTATTTTCAGATAAAAGGGGCATCAAGAGCACAGGCCTGGGACAGGAAGAAGCATGGGATGTTTGAGCAACAGACATCCAATGTAGGTCCAGAATAGGGGCTAGGTTAAGGGGCCCTGTCAAATTGTTACTAATGTAATTTTTCTTTACTTTTTTTTTTTTAAAGGGCCAGGTATGGTGGCTCATGCCTGTAATTCTAGCAGTTTGGGATGCCTAAGTGGACGGATCACGAGGTCAGGAGTTCGAGACCAGCCTGGCCAACATAGTGAAACCTTGTCTCTACTAAAAAATACAAAAATTAGCCAGGCATGGTGGTGCATACCTGTAGTTCCAGCTACTCGTGAGGCTGAGGGAGGAGAATCACTTGAACCCGGGAGGCAGAGGTTGTGGTGAGCCGAGATCACACCACTGCACTGCAGCCTGTGCAACACAGCGAGACTCCATCTCAAAAAAAAAAAATTACCCGGGTGTGGTGGCGGGCACCTGTAATCTCAGTTACTTGGGAAGCTAAGGCAGGAGAATCACTCAAACCTAGGAGGCAGAGGTTGCGGCGAGTTGAGATCCTGTCACTGCACTGCAGCCTGGGTGACAGAGCAAGAGTCTGTCACAAAAAAAAAAAAAGAAAAAAATAGAGGCAAGGTCTCACTATGTTGCCCAGGCTGATTTAAAACTCCTAGACTTAAGCAATCCTCCTGCCAAAGTGCTGGGACTACAGGCATGACCTATGGGGCCCAGCCTGTAATAGTTTTCTTAAAATGAGCAAAGCCCATAGCATCATTTTGCAACTAGGTTCCCTGCAAATATGTATTATCAATCTGATTTTTCTTTTTCTTTTTCTTTTTTTTTTTTTTGAGACAGAGTCTTGCTCTGTCACCCAGGCTGGAGTGCAGTGGCCGGATCTCAGCTCACTGCAAGCTCCTCCTCTCGGGTTCACGCCATTCTCCTGCCTTAGCCTCCCGAGTAGCTGTGACTACAGGCACCCGCCACCTCGCCTGGCTAGTTTTTTGTATTTTTTAGTAGAGACGGGTTTCACTGTGTTAGCCAGGATGGTCTCGATCTCCTGACCTTGTGATCCGCCCGTCTCGGCCTCCCAAAGTGCTGGGATTACAGGCTTGAGCCACTGCGCCTGGACTGATTTTTCTTTTTAAAGAGATTTTTTAAATGCTGCTCTTCCTTTACTTTGTCTACCTTCCTGGTCTAAATTCCATAGCACCAAATAACTTTTTAAATTATTCAATATTTTCACACATGTGTCTGCACCACATCCTCATATGCTTGAAACATCTTGGTATTCCACCTATCATCCACCACCTGCACTCACTCACCAGTCCAGCCTGGCCAAACAGCAGCTGCACCGCCGTCTTGCAGGCACCCCGCCATGTGGATGGGCAAACCTGGTTCAGCACTTCAGTCACAGGAAAATCATCCCTGGATGTGATTCCATTATAGCAGCCTGCTTCCTTCATCAGCTGTAACATTGTATGCTATAGATTGATAAGAAGAGAGTTCACACCTCAAGACAAAGCCATGCAAGGTTCTAAAATTTGTAAAAATGCATTTATACAATCATCCTTAAAAGAAGAGCATTTTATTTATATGTTTTTTGAGACATGGTCTCACTCTATCGTCTAAGCTGCAGACCAGTGGCATGAACATGGCTCACTGCAGCCTCGACCCCTCAGGCTTATGTGATTCTCCTGCTTCAAGCCTCCCCAGTAGCTGGGACCACACAGGTGGGTGCACACCACCACACTCAACTAATTTTTAAATTTTTTGTAGACGTGGAGTCTTGCTATGTTGCCCAGGCTAGTCTGGAACTCCTGGGAGAAGGGCAACTTTTTTTTTTTTTGAGACGCAGCCTTGCTCTGTTGCCTAGACTGGAGTGCACTGACACAATCTCAGCTCACTGCAACCTCCACCTCCTGAGTTCAAGCAATTCTTCTGCCTCAGCCTCCTGAGTAGCTGAGATTATAGGCGCCCGCCACTACACCCAGCTAATTTTTGTATTTTTAGTAGAGATGGGGTTGTGCCATGTTGCTCAGGCTGGTCTTGAACTCCTGACCTCAGGAGATCCGTCCACCTCAGTCTCCCAAAGTGCTAGGATTACAGGCATGAGCCACCACGCCTGGCTCAAGAACAGCATTTTAAATACACCCTAATTATGTCATTTGAACTTCTTTAGTAATGATCATCAATCACTCTCAGAGATTTTCTCAACTCCATAGAGTGAATGACTAGATATGGATACATATGCAATAATATACACAGGTATTTCTATACCAGCACAAAATATAGAATTACTTAGCAATCTACTGATGTGAACTGATTGAGGAATTTTGAAATTCTGAATCCCTCCAAATAGGGAAACAAAATCATCTGATACAAGCAAATACCAATTAAAATCTCAATTTTATTTCGGATGACCAAGTAGTCAGGTATTCAGGCTCTGGAAACAGATTACATAAGCTCAAATTCTAGCTCTTCTACTTTCTAGCTGTGTGACCTTGGGTATCAGTTCCCAGGTGTGGCAGGTGGGCCAAAGGGCAGCACCCCCACCTCGTGGGTGAGCATTAAGTGAGACAATGATGTGGAGCACCTGGCACAATGGCTGGAACACATGATGTTCCACAAATAATCATTATCACTGCAGCATTATGAGAGTATCTCTCTTCTTATGTAATTCATACAAGTCCATGGGCAGACATTAATCATAAACAATATCTTATAGTGTACTTTCAACCCCTTTCTGTTAAACATCTGAATAAAATTATGAATAAAACTCTCTTGGCCCAGCTCGGTGGCTCATGCCTGTAATCCCAGCACTTTGGGAGGCCAAGTAAGGTGGATCAGCCGAGGTCAGGAGTTCGAGATCATCCTGGCCAACACAGTGAAACCCCGTCTCTACTAAAAATACGAAAATTAGCCAGGCTTGGTAGCACATGCCTGTAGTCCCAGCTTCTTCAGAGGCTGAGGCAGGATTGCTTGAACCCAGGAGGTGAAGGTTGCAGTGAGCTGAGATAGATCACACCACTGTACTCCAGCCTGGACGAGAGAGTAAAACTCCATCTCAAAAAACAAAAAAAAACTTGCTTGACAAATGTCTGATTAAAGTCTCCACAGGTCTGCTTTTTAATTTTTTTTTTTTTTTTTTTAAAGACAGAGTTTTGCTCTTGTTGCCTAGGCTGGAGTGCAATGGCACAATCTTAGCTCACTGCAGCCTCCACCTCATGGGTTCAAGCAATTCTCCTGCCTCAGCCTCCCGAATAGCTGGGACTACAGGCGTGCACCACCACACCCGGCTGATTTTTGTAATTTTAGTAGAAATGGGGTTTCACCATGTTGATCAGGCTAGTCTCAAACTGCTGACCTCAGGTGATCCACCTGCTTTGGCCTTCCAAAGTGCTGAGATTACAGGCGTGCGCCACCACACCCGGCTGATTTTTGTATTTTTAGTAGAAATGGGGTTTCACCATGTTGATAAGGCTAGTCTCAAACTGCTGACCTCAGGTGATCCACCTGCTTTGGCCTTCCAAAGTGCTAGGATTACAGGCGTGAGCCACCACGCCCGGCCCCATTTTGTTTTTTAATCTACATCCTTTGCAAGCCTTTACATTTCTCTTAAGAACTCTATTTTCAAGTTCACACTCAGTTGCTGGAACCCCATGGAAAGCTACCGTCTTAAGTTTCAGATTGTCGGCGGCCGACTCATTAAAGGAGACGCCCTTCAGGAAGTGCGATCCTATCTGCACAGGGACGGTGGGGAGCTCACACTGCATGGGCTGCGGGGGTGTCTGCCTCCGCCCTGTCTGCTGGGCTTCCGCCTCGCTGCAGCAGCCCTGGAAAAGGCATGGATGGAAGAGGAGAGGTGACCCATCGCTCATCTGTTAAAACACTTGGTTCACATTACACTGCAGCAGCAGCACCCTAGGTCCCCAGAGCTTTAGGAAGGAAAAGCGTACCTGCAAACTTGCTTCAATCGCCTTTGGATTCAGGTGGAAGCCAGCTTTCATTGCATATTCACAGTGTCCTAAGCTTTCCAGAGCTATCTTATATGCCTGGAAATAAGTTATTTTTAACAATCAAGATCATAAAGCAAATTATAAGATGACAAAGTTCAATGGAAATAGAAGTCTTAAATTTCTATAGCTATTAAAAGACTCGAGGCCAATTACTACTCTATAACCCTTTGTAATTGGTTCAACTTCACAACTTTAACTCCCTCGTTTCTATCCCATGGAAATCAGTATGTCAGTTCTGAAAAACTTACTTGCAAAGCACTGTCAATTTTTATGTTCAGTTCTTTTAGCTGGTGCTCAGGAATTGCTGCACTTTGAGAACAAAAGAGTTGTTGAACTTCAATTCCTGCCAGGCAACCATCACAGCCTCTTTCTCTTAGCCTAGATGTCGCCTGCAACATATATAGTAACTGGTAGGTAAAAGAGGGTTGCACAGTTCTTGCAACATTAGACCCACAATAACAACAAGAAAAACTCCCTCAACTAAAATGCAGCAATAAACCATCTAAGCAAATAAACTAGAAGTTCTAGATTGTTTGTATTGCAAAGTAGGCAGCCCAAATTTTGAAAGCCTAATTAACCATCCTGAAGATAAAGGAAATCTCCCTTTATTTTATTTTATTTTTTTTTGAGACAAGGTCTTACTCTGTCACCCAGGCTGGAGTGCAGTGGTGCTATCTCGGCTAACTGCAACCTCCACCTCCCGAGTTCAAGCAATTCTCCTGCTGAACTCAGCCTCCCGAGTAGCTGGGATTACAGGCGCCCACCACCGTGCCCAGTTAAGTTCTGTATTTTTAGTAGAGATGGGGTTTCATGATGTTGGGTCAGGCTGGTCTTCAACTCCTGACCTCAGGTGATCCACCCACCTCGGCCTCCCAAAAGCTGGGATTACAGGCTTGAGCCACGACACCCGGCCGAAATCTCCCTTTATTTTAGGAACCCTGGAAAAAAGACTTACCTACTTGTTATTTGTTTTATATATACATATATATATTCAGACATTTTTAACTTTCCTGCTTTAAAAAGACAGGTTACCTAGAATATTGGCACTTGGAGTTTCCAGAATAAAAAAAAAAGAAAGGAAGAAAATACATGGTTGGGCATTCCTATACAGTGAAGGAAAAGGCCACATGAATACAGAAGAGGAAAAATATACATTGGCATGTTAACAGAAAAACAGAGCTTTTGAAATCTGCACAGAAAATTAAATATTTATTGTTCAGTCACTACATATGTTTATGAACAGTAGATAAGCAAGATAGAAAAGGAGAAACTAATCTCTGTCATTTGATGATTAAATGCAGAAAATATATACATGGATCAGGACAAGAAGAGAATACAGAAAAATATATATTTGATTTATTAGATGGGATTACAGATGAACTGTTTTTAGGTTTCTATTTTTGTTGCAATTCTGTGAACCAAGTAACATTTTTTAGTAGTTAACTTTTGTTCTGCTGGGCCAGTGTAGGAGTTGTAATATTTACAAAACTTGCAGACTACAGGAAAATGACTAGCTGCTATAATGCCATAAAGTTCCAAAGCTTTGGTTTCACAAACTGTATGTAAACACCCTTCCCTGAAGCCTAAGAGTCTCACAGTTTAAAACTGTTTGACTCTTTCTAAGGATCTTTCAGTCAAATATTTAGCTCACGCCGGGCGCGGTGGCTCAAGCCTGTAATCCCAGCACTTTGGGAGGCTGAGATGGGCGGATCACGAGGTCAGAAGATCGAGACCATCTTGGCTAACACGGTGAAACTCCGTCTCTACTAAAAAATACAAAAAACTAGCCGGGCGAGGTGGCAGGCGCCTGTAGTCCCAGCTACTCGGGAGGCTGAGGGAGGCGGAGCTTGCAGTGAGCTGAGATCTGGCCACTGCACTCCAGCCTGGGCGACAGAGCAAGACTCCGTCTCAAAAAAAAAAAAAAATTTAGCTCACAAGGTGGTGTATTAGGTTCATGCTGCAGCACAAAGCTGCTCCTTACCCCCTCCTGGAGCTGACAGCCTCATGGCCAAAAAGGTGATCAAGGAAAACATAATTATAAATGGAGAAAAAACACTGAAGGAAACAGAGGACTATACCAGGGAGTGTCCTAGACACCCAGAAAGCAGTATTTAGGGTGAGAATTAGAGGAGAAGGTCATGAATGGAATTGCATGTGTGTGGGGTGGGGTGGGGGTGTCAAGACCTACAGACGGGTCCATGAAACAGGCCAAGGATCCAAGATAACAAAGACACATCCAAGGAACTAGAGACCAGCGAGCGAGGGCAGGGTGGCCACTGATAAGGCTGGCCATCAAGGCAGGAGCCAGACTAGGCAGGTCTAGGCAGGTCGTGCCGAGGGGTCCACGTGCTACCCTAAGGAAATGAGAAGCAACATCATCCAATTTTAAAATGAAGGAGAGCAAGACAGGGAGGGGAGAAGTAACGATTCCCTGAACGAGGGTAGTGATAAAGGACATGGAAGAAGGGGACAGATCTAGGATAGGATTTTGGAGGTGGGACCTGCCTGGTTTTCTTAAGGACTGGACTAGATGTGGACATGATGGAAATGCTGAAGGATAAATCTCAGCTTTCTCAAGTGAACAACCCAGTGTGGGATGGCACCGCTTACTAGCATAGAGAGGGTCTAGGGAGGAACAGGTGAGTGGAGAGAGGCTATGCCCGAGCCACCTGTGAGACCCCTGGTAGCAGCTGAGCTCAGGTGCCTGAAGCCCACAGGAAGTGGGCGGCTCACTGATCACACACATTTGAGCCCCCTCCCAGGACACAGGTGGCTTTTTGAGTGCCAAGACTGTATGGAGAACCCCTAAGGAGAAGGGCGCTATAACTGAGCCTGGAGAAACTCATTCAGAAGTTGTGTTGAGGAAGGAGAGGCCAGTAAACTAGATGAAGAAAGGATGACCCAAGAGAAAAGAAAGCTTGGTTCCTGGATGTCACAAGATGAGCGTATTTCCAGGGAGGAATATTCTCCACACTGCTGTGAGCTGCTGAAAGTTGTTGAAAGGCTTCCCTGGATTTGAAAACACGGAAGGAAGGCACCAATGACCTTGATAAGAGAAGGCATGTTCTTTTATAGGAGTAGAAGCCAGATTTCAGCAAGCTGAATGACATCATGTACATAAAGTTTCAGACTGTGTAAAATAATACCTTATATATGGATACATTCATATATGGAAAAATACTAAAATACGCACAAGAATCACAGGCTTCAAATTCAAAAGAGGTTATTTCTAGAGACAAAGGGATGAATAAGAAAGTGGAGAGGTACAAAAGGGATTCAAGTGAATTTGCAGACTGGGTACAGGAGCCTAGGAGCTGGGGACCGGCCTGGGAACATAGCAAGACCCTGTCTTTGCAAAAATAAACAAACAGTAAAATAAAATAATTAGCCAAGCATGGTGGTGCATGCCTATAGTCTGAGCTACTCAGGAGGATTGCTTGAGCCAAGGAGGTCAAGACTGCAGTAAGCTGTGATCACCACTGCACACCAGCCTGGGCAACAAAGCAAGACACACTCTTTTAAAAAATAAAAAAAAATAAAAAAAAAAAAGGTGCACTGGTGATACTTTTCTGTTAAAAATATGTAACAGGCATGAGCAAATATGGCAGGCAGCTAAAAGGAAGATACTGATGGGTATGAAATGTTCTATATGCCTGAAATACTTCAACAATAATTACTTTTTAGACTACTCTGGGTAAACTGTCTATGGGGTGTGCCAGGAGCAGTAAGGAGCCACAGGGTGCAGTAAAAATAAAATAGTAATTTTTTAGAATGAATGAAAAGTGAAAGAAAGGCAGACAACTACTCCAAGAAGTTGGCTGAGAAAAGAGCAGGGAAATGGACTTTTCTGTGGGAAGCATCTTTGTATACTGGCGGGAACAGGCTGAGGATGAGGGAGAGAAAACACTGGGTCACACCACAGAAGTTGGGCCCTCAACGATGGGGGCAAGGCGGGCACCGGGCAATCCTGGACAGGAGGAGACAGCACCTTCCCTGCTGTCATGAGGCAGGAGAAGGAAGAAAAGATGGGTGTGAAGTGGGGTGGCAGAGGCGGTGGTGGCTTGGCCACATGAGGAAGAAGGGCTGCCATCAGGGAGATTCTATTTTCTCAGTGTAGTGGGAGGTGGCATCACTGGCTGAAAGCAAAGGAGTGTAAAAAGAGCAGAAAGGCCTGGACAGACTAAAATGGTGGCAGAAAAGGTCAAGGTGAAAAGGTTAAGAGAGCACTCGGAGGCCTCCTACTGTGGGCTGGTCCTCAGCATGAGTGGTCCAGAAGATGGAGCAGGGGACCAAGGCAGGTGTTAGGTTCACATGTGTGAGCTGAACAGTCAGGAGGCTGGGGCCCAGCAGCCAAGAGGACACCAAGGGCTGTAGAGTCACACGACAAGGCGACAAGGCGCAGGTCTGGACCTCAGGGTCCAGCCATCTACAATAAAGCCAACTGGTCCCACCCCCACACACAGCCTCCAATTAGCATTCCAGGGCCTTTCTGATGAACAGAAAGCCAGCTCAAGGAAAGTCTTTAGCATGAAAGACAGACCAAAACATGCAAGCAAACAGGAAAAAGACCCAAACATGCAAGCAAACAGTGAAAATTAAAAAGAAGTGACAACAATGAAGCAAATGGCATGAAATTGAAATAATAAAAAAACTAGAGACTGGACAATATTAAGATGTGAAAAATCATGTTTTGAAAATTTTACTAAAGAAAATTTCCAAAACATAGAATGAAATACTTTGCCAAGTTCATTATGGAATGATGTGAACTAGACATTAATGAATCACTATACTGTTAACTATAAATTATGGTTTACTCTGTGTTTGCCTTTTGGGATAGTTTTAAAAAATTATTTTTTGGCCCGGGTGGTGCCTCACGCCTGTAATCCCAGCACTTTGGGAGGCCAAGTCAGGTGGATCACCTGAGGTCAGGAGCTTGAGACCATCCTGGCCAGCGTGACAAAACCCCATCTCTACTAAAAATACAAAATTGGCTGGGCATGGTGGCGGGCACCTATAATCCCAGCTACTGAGGAGGCTGAGGCAGGAGAACTACTTGAACCCGGGAGGCGGAGAGTGCAGTGAGCGGGGATTGTGCCACTGCACTCCAGCCTGGGCGAAAGAGCAAGACTCTGTCTCAAAAAAAATAAAAAAAAAAGAAAAGAAAATTATCTTTTACTCTGTAAAATGGAGCAGTAAGTCCTAGTTAAAGTCTCAACTTCTTTTTTTTTTTTTTTTGAGACGGAGTCTTGCTCTGTCGCCCAGGCTGGAGTGCAGTGGCCGGATCTCAGCTCACTGCAAGCTCCGCCTCCTGGGTCTACGCCATTCTCCTGCCTCAGCCTCCCGAGTAGCTGGGACTACAGGCGCCTGCCACCTCGCCCGGCTAGTTTTTTGTATTTTTTTGGTAGAGACGGGGTTTCACCGTGTTAGCCAGGATGGTCTCGATCTCCTGACCTCGTGATCCGCCCGTCTCAGCCTCCCAAAGTGCTGGGATTACAGGCTTAAGCCACCGCGCCCGGCCCAAGTCTCAACTTCTAATGTTTATTTTTTATTTCTCATACTGGAAACAAAGATGTAGTAAAATGCCTACAAGAAATGTCACCCATGGCCAGGAGTGGTGGCTCACACCTGTAATCCCAGCATTCTGGAAGGCCAAGGAGGGTGGATCACCTGAGGTCAGGAGTTCGAGACCAGCCAGGCCAACATGGTGAAACCTCATCTCTACTAAAAATACAAAAATTAGCCAGGCATGGTGGTGTGTGCCTGTTATCCCAGCTACTCGGGAGGCTGAAGCAGGAGAATTGCTTGAACCTGGGAGGTGGAGGTTGCAGTAAGCCAAGATCACGCCATTGCACTCCAGCCTGGGCAACAAGAGCGCAACTCTGTCTCCCAAAAGAAATGTCATTGATCATAGGCAAAAGTCTCCTTAAAACAGACTTTTTCAGAGCTGTTTTTGATTGCCTTTTATTTAAGCTTAAATGCTTCTGGCTGTGGAAAGGGAATAGAGAATGCCACATCAGAGTGACTAGGAAAGCAACCCTGTGCTAGGCTGGAATCGCCCCACTGGAGTGGCTCCCTGCAGCCCACCATTCAGTCATAAGGTTGTCACCACGAGAGGAGACTCGCACAATTCTCCCCCACGTTATTGCTGATGACCATGCCACACCATCCCACACCACTGCACTCTCTATCCACTAGGGAGCCAACCTCTGGTCTAGCTCTTGCATGATGGTTAGATTTTATAAACATATCTGCTATGCTGGGAAATAGCCAATCTTCCAAGGGATAAAAGACTTCATGTTGGTCCGGTGTGGTGGCTCATGCCTGTAATCCCAGCACTTTCAGAGGCCAAGGCAGGTAGATCACAAGGTCAGGAGTTCAAGACCAGCCTGGCCAAGATGGTGAAACCCTGCCTCTACTAAAAATACAAGACTTAGCTGGGCTAAAATACAAAAATTAGCCAGGCGTGGTGGCGGGCACCTGTAATCCCAGCTACTTGGGAGGCTGAGGCAGAGAATTGTTTGAACCCAGCAGGCGGAGGCTGCAGTGAGCCAAGATCGTGCCACTGTACTCCAGCCTGGGTGACAGGGCGAGACCCCGTATCAAAAACAAAAAACAAAAAACAAAAAAAAACTTCATGAAGTCACATAAAGCATACTAGAGAACTGCTCAAATCACATGTAAAGCAACTGACAAATGAGGATGTAGGCAGAGTTAGACCAATTAAGAATCTTGTCCACGCCTATAATCCCAGCACTTTGGGAGGCCGGAGGCAGGCAGATCACGAGGTAATCCCAGCACTTTGGGAGGCCGAGGCAGGCAGATCACAAGGTCAAAAGATCAAGATCATCCTGGCTAACACAGTGAGACCCCGTCTCTACCAAAAAAAAAAAAAAAAAAAAAAAAAAAAAAAAAGCCGGGCGTAGTGGCAGGCGCCTATAGTCCCAGCTATTCAGGAGGCTGAGGCAGGAGAATGGCGTGAACTCGGGAGGCAGAGCTTGCAGTGAGCCAAGATCACGCCACTGCACTCCAACCTGGGGGACAGAGTGAAACTCCATCTCAAAACAAAACAAAACAAAACAAAACAAAAAAGAATCTTGTCTGGGCACAGTGGCTCATGTCTGTAATCCCAGCACTTTGGGAGGCAGAGGTAGGTGGATCACTTGAGCCCAGCAGCTCAAGACCAGCCTGGACAACACAGTGAGACTCCATCTCTACCAAAAAAAAAAATATAGAATAATAGTAATAGTAATAATAATAATAATAAGCTAGACATGGTGGCATGAGCCTGTAGTCCCAGCTACTTGGAAGAGGCTGAGGTGGGAGGATCTCTTGAGCCTGGAGGTCCAGGCTGTAGTGAGCCTTGATCACAGCACTGCACTTCAGCCTAGGCAGCAGAGCGAGACCCTGTCTCAAAAAAAAAAAAAGAAAGAAAGAAAAAGAAAAGAAAAACTTAAAGAATTAAAAAAGTTTCAAAGATTCCAAGCCCTGCTGTAGGGAATGATTTGACTAGCAAAAAACAGACAAAATTCCCTGTGTCCACTGAGCTCTCACCCTGTTGTGGTTTTATCTTTGGAGCCTGCCATCCCATCTGTCTGCCAAACACTCCTGCTTGCCTGCCTCGCTGCCTGGCTGGCCACTTACCCTCCCCAGACAGCTCCACCCCGTCTTTCCTGACTTGGGTGCCAGCCTCTTCTCACTGGTCCCCCATCTTAGCTTTCCTGCAGCACTACTGTTCAGAGACATGACCCTCCCTTCCTCTGGCTCCCGCACATCTCCATCCTGGCCCCTTAACCCTGTTTTTGTAAGCCTATTCTCCCAGCAGGCTGTGAGTAGAGGTTGTCATCCTAGTGCCTGGCACAAAGTGGGCATTCACAAAGATGTTCACTGTTAAATGAATGAACAAGCTAATGAAACAATTTAAAATGTACATTTCTAAATAAAATGGCTCTTTTGAGAATCAACAGGCAAAGGCCCTCTGGAGCCTCTCCTATTTGAACACAGGTACCAATCTCCCCAAAGCCAGGGTTACCTCAGCAGCCCCCCGCCAGGACCGCACAGCTTCTTCCAGTTCAGGTGTGTGGCCCATGCCAGATAAGCTGCCGCCACTGCTGCTGTTCTTTTTTTCTGGCACAATGACCTCAGCAAAGCAAGAGTGAGCCACCGGCTGGACCTTCTGTAATGCATGAGTCAAAAACTGGAAATGGACTTGCACCACAGTCAGGAAACATCGCCCCAACACCTGTGAAAACAAGACAGCCAGGGATGTTTAGGTTGTGGGTTGCTGTTGGATTCGCGCAGTAAATTTTCAGTGACCAACTTAATAGAAACAATGGTTAACTGGAATTCCAAAATCATACAAAGTTAAAAGGCCACCATGCTTCAGAAGGATCTGCCTTTGTTTTTGTGTTTGGACCTCGGTGACTGATGCCTAGAAGTCAAAACATTTCCATCAAATAACAAGGTCCAAGGTTGAAATATGTCTTCCCATTTCCCACCAACTTGCCCCTAATCCTGTTCTCCACTCCCTACATCTGGACTCACACCACTTCTGGTGTCTTTGAGCTCCTGCTGAACCACAGTCATCCACAACTGCAATTATGTCCACACAGTATTCAGAAGGTAAAGAAGAAAACTGTGCAACTGAAAATCTGAAAGAAGGCCAATTTGACCATAAGACATTCCATTGAAAATGGAATCCAAATATACTGGTTATTTTAGTAAGAGTGTTAACATAGTTATTAACATAGTCATATGTCATCTTTCCAGTCTTACGAAACAAAGCTGACAGACCAGTCTTCCAGGAGTCAAGAAAATATAATGCACAGCTCCATTCATGAGTACCATTAGCCTGATATATATTCGTGATTGGCTGCTAATAGACCAAGTAGGAAATTAACTTAAAAAATACTATACACATAAATATGTAATTATAATAAGATGTATACTAAATACATACTACGTGCCACAAACATTTTCAGATATGATTGTGCATTTCTCTGGCAGCCTTCTGGTATGGGCTAAGGCTGTTCTGACAGCTCCTTTGCTGCTCCTCCCTGTTACTCTCTTGCGTAAACCAGTTACAATGTGTTCTCTATCATTTATTATTTATCTTTCTTTTTTTTGAAATGGAGTCTCGCTCTGTCACCCCGGCTGGAGTGCAGTGGCATGATCTCGGCTCACTGCAACCTCCACCTCCCGAGTTCAAGCGATTCTCTGACCTGAGTGCACCATCACACCCAGCTAATTTTTGTATTTTCAGTAGAGATGGGGTTTCACCATGTTGGCCAGGCTGGTCTCAAATTCCTGACCTCAGGCACTCCACCTGCCTCGGCCTCCCAAAGAGCTGGGATTACAGACGTGAGCTACCATGGCCGGCCTTATTTCCTCTTTAACACAGGGCAAAAACCTGCCACTTACAAAGCAACCTGACCACAAACCTTCCAGATTATTGACATTTTTTCCTAATCTCTCATAGTTGTTTTGCCCACATCAGATCTGACAATAATACCAACAAAAACCTTTTGCAGCTCTTTTATCCTGTTTCCTAATAATCTTTTTGTGGAAGATATTTTATATTTCTTTGGCTTATGCAGATTACTTACTCACAACTTACTTTACTGAGTTTGCAATTCACCCAACTGAGCAGGAGTGGACCTGAGAGAGCCGGCCCTCAGCCCACTGCCTCGTGGAAGTAGTGAAGGTCAGGGAACTATGGCCATTGCTTTTTACAAGGAACCAAAATCCAGCACAGTGCCCATGCACTGTCCTGACCCTTGAGCAGCACACAGTAAGACTCAACCTTCCTCTCCCCTCAGATGAACACGTGGACTCTCTGCCTTGTGGCATGCACGTGGACCTCTTACCCTGCCTTACCTCACGCACATGCGCAGATTCCTTGGGCGCAGTGCGCAGGTGGACCTCTCGCCTCGCCTCAGCATCTACCCTTTGCCACATGCCCTCTCAGTTCCCACGAGTCAGAGCTGTTTCCTAGAGAAGCAGGGGCAAGCCAGTTCCCAGCATGACACTTATTCTCTCTGAATCCCTCCTCACCCCGTGGAAATCACCAGGACCAACTAAAGCAAAAAAAAAAACCGCACACAAATCTCACACCAAAGCATCCGCCCTCCAGAGTGAACAACTGGCATTACAGGCTGAAGTCCCCCAAACTCCTGGGCTTCCACTCACACCTCCTCAGAGCACTGCCCCCAGTGCTCTGTGCTTGACTGGGCAGGGTGAGGGACACAGAAGCAGCGCACCCAGGCCAGTTAGACAGGTGCCAGGAGTAGAATAAGCAGCAGCTATTCAGTCCTATAGAGCACACAGACAGCTTTAGTGGAGCAAGCAGCCTGGACCTGACCAACGCTGGAGAGTCACATGGGCTAGAGCATTCAATCCCAGGAACCACCCTATGAGGTCATCCTCCCTTCACAGACAACAAGATCAAGATATAGAAAGGCTATGAAATATTGTCAAGGTGATACAAACTAGATGTGGTGGACCAGTCACCTGACTCAAATGTCCATGCCCTTCACTTGTGTGCCCCACTGCCTTCAGCAGACACTAAACGGGGATCGACTGGCACGTGACAGAAACTCCACCTTAAATGGTGTAGGCTGAAGGTATCCTCAATCTCCTCATCCACTGCAGACACAGGGAGGAGGAGTGAGCTGGCTCCCCAGGGACACAAACTCTTCCTCCCTCTCCTTCCTCAGCACCTTGGCAGCTATGGGAAGCCGGAGGAGGAGGAGAAAGGGAAGACGCCATGCTCCATTAGCTCTGGGTTCACACACTCACAGCTCTGACGGACACAACTGAGTCATTCATTCTCTCAATAAATATATAACATGGGGATGCCTAATACGCACCAAGCACAAGGAGCTGGGAACACTACCGGAAAGAGAATGAGCAAGTCCCTGCTCTCACCAGGGTGACATTCTAATGGGGGAGTCAACAGGCAATGAACAGATATGCAAGGTCGGGTGCTGCTGGGAAAGGAACACAGGCGGGTGGGAAGGAAAAGGCTATCCGAGGAAATGACCAAGGGCAAAGAGAGAGCTACCCTATCACCTCCTAAGGGGCAAAGTTCTGAGGAACGGCTGAAGGCCTGAAGGAGGGCCCCCAGATCAAGAACAGGATGCTCTCTGACAAGGCCATCACCCCTGGGGAGAATGAGGTAGAGGAAGCCCTCTTGCTATGGGGTGGCAGTAAGAAAGGCAGAACGCTGCTGTGGGAAGGAGTGGGGTAAGAGACTCGGTCAGTTTTAAAAGGCATTGTCTGTGTTGTCTCCACCACTTAGGACCTGTTTGACCTTGGATGAGTCATTTAACCTAAGCTTCTTTCCTATAAATAAGGAATGAGGACAACAGCTCAGCCACTGTGCACCTCCCTCTCCTACCCAGGATGCCTGGAGACCAACTCAGTCATACAAATTATGATTGTAACAAAATATCTGTGCTGTAAATAACTTATTCAAAGCCAATCAAACCAATGGTTAATGTTGGACCTTGGAAACAGCCGTTTCATCAGATAGCTGCTCTAAAAATTTACCCAGAGTAGCAGATACATAACCACCACCTTCTCTTAAGAGACTACAGAGCTCAACCTCTGGCCTGCCTTTGCCCACCTTTCCTCTATGAGGATCTCATGTCTTAGCTGAGCTCCCCGCCTGAAACAGACCCCACTCTCCTTGACCCAGGGATGAGCCAGTCCTTGGGTGTCTTCCTGACATAAATTTGGGAGTGTGTGACCCCAGGGCTGTGGAAAGCTATTTTCTCCTTCACATGGAGAAAGTTTCCTGGACTGTGTGGTTCAAATTGCAGAACAGGTATGGGAAGCTGGGGATGAGCAGAGTGGCCAAAGGCAGGCATTTAAGTTTAAAAAGCCAGTGAAGCTCTATCAACAGCTACCATTTTTTGAGTGTTTAAATACCAAGCACTTTACGTTTGGTGAACCATCCCTGTGGGGTGTGAGCAATTTACCCATTTTACAGATGACAACACTGAGGTTTACTGAGATAAAGAAACTTGCTCAATGTCAAGCAGGTAATAAGTGGGGATCTGACACCAGGTGTGTCTGACTCCAAAAGTTGTGTTGCCAACCACCAGACTATACTTTCTTCCTTTGACAAGACCTAGAATGTAGCCACAATAGTGGATAAATACTAATCAGAGGAGGAGCAATGGATTACAGACGGCTATCGGGGTCTACTGAATGAGAGCCTGTTTTCTAGTAACCTTGATGTTGGAGGAGAAGCGTGCATGTTTACCTTCCTATTCCTTTGCACACATACCACATCTGCTGCTAAGGATGTTGTGTTCATGCACGTGACCAGAATACCTTTTCTTTTTGATGATATTTATATTTTATTCAGATTGTAAAACAGTTTTTAATTTAAGGCCTTCCTATTTGGAGCCCCAAAAGACTACCCTTTCTTTTTTTTTTTTTTTAGACGGAGTCTTGCTCTGTGGCCCAGGCTGGAGTACGGTGGCACAATCTTGGCTCACTGCAAGCTCCGCCTCCCAGGTTCCTGCCATTCTCCTGCCTCAGTCTCCAGAGTAGCTGGGACTATATGCGCCTGCCACCACGCCCGGCTAATTTTTTGTATTTTTAGTAGAGACGGGGTTTCACTATGTTAGCCAGGATGGTCTCGATCTCCTGACCTCGTGATTCGCCCGCCTCGGTCTCCCAAAGTGCTGGGATTACAGGCCTGAGCCACCGTGCCTGGCCAAGATCACTCTTTCTATACCACTGCAGTTGTTGAAGATCAACCTACATGTCAACTCTGCTTTCCTGGAATATCTCAAAGTTTAGTTGCAGCTATTCCTCTTCTAGGCTCAGATCTGACTCAGTCCGTAATACCTGCATGTGGTTGGAATTATGGAGTGCCCAAGTCCACCCCATTTCCCAAAACATGGTGTGATTTTCACATCAATACAAATAATTTCTCACTAAGTTCACTGTTCTGCTCAACTCCATGAACTCGAGTTCATCTTTTTTATATCCCTTTAGAGTGAGGAACAAGTAAAACTCTCATACATCCATTTATTTCCGATTACTTTAAAAACCCAGTGTAAGGAGGTCCAAGATGGGTGCTTGTATTAGAAATTCTAAAGCATTCAATCATTTCTTTCTCTTCAATACTCATTTATACCTTAAATGTTACATTAGGTTCCTAGTGTCCTCAACCTTGTTCTTAATGAGGTCTCTTGTTCTGATGATCACTGGATTCATTACATAATG